ACTCGATGTCGGACAGGCAGGCTGTCAGGACATCGGTGGTCGTGGAGTTGAGAGTAGAGGAGGAAAGGTAGAGTTGGGTGTCATCCGCATACATGTGGAAGTTAACTCCATGTCTGCGGATGATGTCACCAAGGGGGAGCATATAGAGGGTGAAGAGGAGGGGACCGAGGACAGAGCCCTGAGGGACACCACATGAGACAGTACGGGGGGTGGAGGAGAAGCCATTCGTCGAGACAAAGTGAAGACGGTGAGAAAGGTACGACCTAAACCATTCAAGGACAGTGCCTTGAAGGTTGAGGTGGGAGGACAAGCGGTGGAGTAGGATAGCGTGGTCGACCGTATCGAATGCTGCCGATAGGTCGAGGAGGACGAGGAGGCAGAGGGAGCCCTGGTCACAGATGGTCAGGATATCATTGGTGACCTTGACCAGGGCAGTTTCTGTGCTATGGGCAGCACGGAAACCTGACTGAAGGGGTTCGAAAAGTGAATGGGTGGAAAGGAAAGAGCGCAGTTGGGAGGCGACAACTCTTTCCAAGACCTTGGAGAGAAAGGGGAGGTTGGAGATGGGCCGGTAGCTTGATAGCTGCGACGCATCAAGGGAGGGTTTTTTCAGGGTGGGCGTGATGGTGGCAGTTTTTAAGGGAATGGGGACAGAGCCAGAGGAGAGGGACAGGTTGATGATGTCAGTGATATGTGGGGCAAGAAAGTGGAGCTGGGAGATAAGGAGTGGAGTGGGGATGGGGTCAAGGGAGCAGGTGGTTGGTTTTAGGGATAGGATGAGTTTGGTGACAGAGGGTGGGGAAACGGGTACGAAGGTGTGTAGGGGAGGATGGGTAGGAGTCGGAGTGTGGGAGGGAGGGGGTGGGGGGTTGGTGGAAGTTGGAGGGGAAGTGACCGCGGAGCGGATTCCCTTGATCTTGGATTCAAGGAAATCCAGCATCTCCTCGCAGTGAAGGTTGGAGGAGATGACCTGCGCGGGGTGGCGGGGGGGACGGAGGAGTCGGGTTGTGGTGGAAAACAGTAGCCTGGGGTTGTTCTTCGCCTCCAGGATTATCCTGGAGTAGAAGGACGACTTGGCCGAGGCTAGAGTGGAGCGGTAAATTTTGAGGAGGTCCAGCCAGATTTGTCGGTGGACCGTTAGGCCAGATTTGACACAGGTGCGTTCAGCAGCCCGCACCTGGCTTTTCAGTGAGCGGAGGTGGGTGGTGTACCAGGGGGAGGAGCGGGAGTAGGAGACAGTGCGGGAAGTGATGGGGGCAAGAGTATCGAGTGTGGAGGAGAGGGTATTGTGGAGGAGGGAGAGAGGAGAAGAGGGGTCGGTGAGGGTTGAAGGCCAGAGGGAGAGGAGTTCAGAGGACTCCAAGGCATCGGTTAGGGATTGTGGGGGTAACTTCTTCCAAGGGCGGTAGAAGATGGTGGTGGGTCTGGTGGAGGTGGGGAGGGGGGTGGAGGTGGTGAAGGAGATGAAGTAGTGGTCAGAGATGGCCTTGTCGGTAATAGTGACATCCGAGACACTGAGGCCCCGGGTGATCACCAAATCGAGTGGGTGGCCGTGACTGTGAGTGGGGGAGTTTATGTGTAAGGAGAGGTTGAGTGAGGAGAGCAGGGAAGAGAAGTCTGTGGAGATGGAGCAGGAGGGGGTGAAGTGTAGGTTAAAGTCGCCCAGGATGATGAGGCGATCAGAGCAGAGGCAAAGAGATGTGAGGAGTGTTGAAATGTCAGAGATGAAGGTGGGAGAGGTTTTAGGGGGCCGGTAGAGGAGGAGGATTTTAAGGGAGAGGAATGAGGGGTGGGAGAGGGTGAGGTGCTCAAAGGAGGGGAAAGAGCCAGAGGAGTAGGGGGATAGGGCAAGTGGTGTCCTTGAGATAAGGGCAACACCACCGCCACGGCGGTTGGGGCGGGGGATGTGGTGGGAGGTGTAGCCGGGTGGTGTGGCCTCCGTGAGGGGGAAGGTGTCGCCTGGGGTGAGCCAGGTTTCTGTTAAGGCCATGATATCAACGCTCTCATCAAGGATGAGATCGTTGATGACCAGGGCCTTGTTGCAGAGGGAGCGGACATTTTGCAGTCCGATGTGGAGGGAGCGGTTGACAGAAGGGTGTGTGGGAGGGGAGGGGGGTCCAGGTTGTGAGGCAGGGGTGGGGGAATGGGGATGAGGGAGGAGAGGTTGACTCCCCGGGTCTGTGTCCGGGGTGGCTGGCGAGTGTGGTGGGGAATGGGGCAGTCGGTGTGGCTGCTGCTGGACAGCCAACGCCGAGTGCCACGGTGAGCCCGGCGGAGGATTCCCAGACTGGAACAGAGGGAGGTTGTGGGAGGGTCAAGTGGGGATGGAAGACGAGAGGGACGGAGAGAGAGGAGGAGAGAGCGGGAGATGCAGAGGGGGGAGGGTTTGGGGGGAGAGAGGAGGGGGGCAGGATGGAGGGGGTGAGGGGGCTCGGGTCAAAGGACGTCCCAAAGCGCTTCACAGAACACACTGTAAAGTGAATTGACTGTATATTTGTGGGCGAACACGGCAGCCAATTGCGCACAGCAATGTCCCACAAACAGTCGTAGATTGAAAATGACCAATTTATTATTGTTTTTTGTTTTGGAGGGATTATTATTAGGCTCTGTGTGGAGTAAGGAAACTTGCCCAAGGTTTCGCCCTCTGCCTGGAATTGAACTCAGGTCTCTCGCTTGCAAGGCGAGTGCTCTAACCACTGAGCTACAGAACTCCACATAACGCTGACTAAAATTTCAACCCACCACTGTCAGCATCAAACCATCCTAGGTTAGATATAGCACATTGGTTGCTGAGTACATCTCCCTCTCCTCTGGGCCAACAATGTGCCTGATCCCCATTCTCAGAAAAAACACCTTCCCTCAGTCTTTCACTGCACCAGTGTGACAAATGTCATATCATTAGTCTTATGGGGATTTCTGCACATGTCCTTTCAGTTATGTTTTCGTCAAAACAAAAAATAAGTGTTTGGGATCAGGATTTTGTTTCCACTCTTAAAATCTTCCTGCAGCTTCCCAAGATTTTGTAGGAACGAAAAAACTGGAAATGGAATGTAACTGAAAAAACAAGCAGCGCAGACAGCCTTAATCATTTAAAATTGTCCCCAGTTCCCATTTCTTTAACATAAAATATTCATCAATCTGCAAACTTATTTTTTAATACTTCAGCCAAATTGCATTAAGAGATTTGAGAAGATTCTTCAGCATAATTTCAAGCTATAAATAATTGTTTCAATTGAGAGGTTTTATATTTGGGAGAACTGAATGTCATAATGATTAAGAATATTTTTTTCACTCTTGGGACCTCTGGTTAAATGTAGCCGAAGCTGATTAAATGGAAGTGTTTTCCCTTTAGATGCTTTCAACTCAGTTGCTCTTGGCTATGAATCCACATAATATCCATAATTCAGCACTGATTGCAAGCAAATTAGCAGCCACATTCAGGGAGAGCCCAAGTCAGGCTGATCAGGAAATGAAGTTAAGGTTCTCGCTTGAATGATGAGTCTGGATCCGACCATTTTCTGCATCTGGCCATGATGTCAGCTTGGCTTGGTTCAAAGCACTTTTGCCTCTGAATTCAAAGGTTATGGTTTAAAGCCCCACTTCAAACTCACAGTTGGGACTCCAGTGCATTGCTGGGGCTACACTTAATTGTCATATGGGCCATCCTTCAGAGACGTTGAACTAAGATCCTATCCGCCTGTTGTCATTTGTTCCATGGCTGTTTGTGGGACACTGCTATGCACAATTGACTGCCATGCTTATGTATATATTTTATATGTTATTATTAATATACTATTATATTATATTTTCTTACATATGTATATTTTTATGTATATATTCCACCCACAAAATCCACAGTCAGAGGGTATGTGTGGTCTGCGAATATCATGTGAGGACAAGACCAGGCTCTCCTTTGAGGTCAGATAACCTGCCAGCCGTTATTGTCAAGAGTCACACATGAAAAATGGTCTTTAAGATGAGATACCAAAGGGTAAATAGAGTCTGGAAAACCATCCTCCAGTAGAAGGTAAAATAAAAGTCAGAAAGCTGAAGTACAAAGAGAGAGGAGTAAATTGGATTATTGTTTGATCAGCTGGGTGTCTGAGACAAGCGGAAACTCACCACCATGCTTAAGAGTCTCCAAACCAAGCTATTGAGCGCTCCACATGTGTCCAGTTGCTGTGGGGAACTTCAACTGAGGAAAAAATGCTTTTGGAAAGGGTTAAATGTTTAATATTTTCTGGACCTCAGTCAAGTTCACTGATCAGTGTGATGTTTGTAACCTTCTAAAAAGGGCGGATGTAATTCATTTAAGTTTAGGTTTCAAACTGGTATGTATGAAAATATAAATAATAATAATAATCCTTGCATTTGATATAGCGCTTTTCACGTCGAGAGGACGTCCCAAAGCGCTTCACAGAACACACTGTAAAGTGAATTGACTGTACTTTTGTGGGCGAACGCGGCAGCCAATTGCGCACAGCAATGTCCCACAAACAGTCGTAGATTGAAAATGACCAACTTATTATTTTTTTTTGGAGGGATTATTATTAGGCGTGTGGAGTAAGGAAACTTGCCCAAGGTTTTGCCCTGCCTGGAATTGAACTCAGGAATTACCTTGCCATTATTTACTCAGTGTTTCAAAGGTAACTTTCACACACAATCTGACCAGATTCCACAAAGGGATATGATGGCTCCGTATTATCAATTTCCATAGAAAATTCAGTGAAATTGATATGCTTATCTCGTTCACCAAGCCATTACGGATTATATTTATTATTAATTATCTAATTATTCTTTAAAGTCCCAAGGAGAGCAGTTATGGGAGAAGTCATAATATTTAATAATTCGCTTAATGCAAATTGTAATTACAAACCTAAGCACGAAATCACTGATGTTTTATTTTCTGTTATATAAGGGTGTTGAGAGTCCAAATTACTGCAATATTATTTCATTTTGACTTAACATGGTTTAATGTGTTTTTCCCCATCTTTCTTTAGCTGGATCATTACTCTCCAGTTCATTACAGTCTGCCAGCCTCTTCAGACATCAGGTTTAACTCTCTGAAGGCCCTCTTCTTAGGGAGAGTGATGGGTAAGTCCGAGCACTGTGCTCTAATCTCTTCCTGCAATATAAAGAGTGGAAAATTTCAACAATACAGGTTATCCCCCTTTTGGGTGAGAAAATGCAAATTATATACTTTTTGAGTAATATTAATGAAAGCCTGAGAAGTCTCCGATAACCTGAGAGAGGAAGGGGAGATTGGGTGGGGAGGGGCAATGGAAAACTTCTGCGGGTCTGAAAACTAACTTGGGCTGAAAGTTATAAGTATGTACAATCAATTGCTTATCTATAAACATGGAAGAGTGCGATGTTTCAGTCTATCCAGTTCTCACCTGGTTTTCGTAATACTGTTATTAAGGTGTCATTGCAAATGAGCTTTCAATGTACAAACAAACCAAGAGTATGATCGTTCACTTGCAATCAGCATAAAGGAAGGATTAGCTTTCTTTACTAGAAAAGGTGGCAGTGTGGAAGCTACAGCCTCAGTATACAGGTGGCCCTGGTGCCCTCCAAACTGCATTTTGCATAATCACGATATTTGGAATATCTGTCAAATGTTTGTGTTGGAGTGATTGTAAAAATGTTCCTTTTCAGTCTTACTCATTACTATGGAAGAAATAGACTCTCTTGTTGTGATACACCATCTGCATGTGCTTGGTTGAGTAATGAGATATTCCTACTCATTTTGACTGCTGGTAACTGCAGTACAGGTGCCATTGGTATGGGCTCAGAGGTTTCTGCAAATGATCATGACTGTTAACATTTTAAAACAAATTAGGTTTAAGTATCTGGATTAATGGTGCATGTTGTTCCTTGCTGCTTTAAAATGATGCTTTTTGCGCCTACTTTACAAGCCCCAAGCATTTTTTCCAGAGTTTGAGTGAGTGTATCCTTTTACATTCTTCCCAAAATTAGCATCCTCAGATTGTTTCCATTGCAGCCTGAGGGTGATGTTTATTGTGAGAAGGGGAAGAGAAGAGGGCAAAATTGATGCTTGTTTGACCTTCACGGGTTTAGCATGCAAAATAATGAATAGTTATGATTTGAGAAAGATTCTAAAAAATTGTGTATGTACAGCATGTGTATGGTAATTGTTTAGCCGCTGCATTCAGTGTTATATTTTTATTTGTAATATTTCGCCCGACTCCACTGGCTCAGAGAATCAAGGTCAGGATCCTCGTCCTCACTTTCAAGGCCATCCATGGCTTTGCTTCCTCCTACCTCTCTGACCTGCTGACTCTCTACCAACCTGCCCGCTCCCTCCGTTCAGGAGGCTCCGGCCTGCCCCATGTCTCCCGCCCGACCCACCCTATCATCGGTGGCCAAGCTTTCAGCCTCTCTGCCCCCACACTCTGAAACTCCATCCCTCGGTCCCTTCACCTCACTTCGTCTCTTGCCTCCTTCAAGGCCAGTCTCAATACCCTCCTCTTCGACCATGCCTTTGGTCGCCCTCCCACCTCTCTGCCTTCTCTCACCTGGATTCCACCCCTCCCCCATGCTCGGATCGTGACCCCTGACTGTTCAGCGCCTTCGGACGTCCTACCGACGTGAAAGGCACTCTATAAATGTAATTTTAGTTGTTGTTGTTGTTCAGCCACAAAATGAAACTGACACAAGACACTTTGGGAGGTAAGGCTGACTGAACAGTTTGGATTTCACTTGTCTCTAAAGCCCTTTGATATGATTTATTTGATGTTTCCTCTGATTTTTTTCTCTAAAAGAAATACAATGCCACAAGGAGCTTTTTTTCTCCGCCACAAACACTGTGATGTTATCACCCATGGAGGTTAACTATTCTATTGGGATTATACAGGATAGAAGAGTGACCTCTGGTGTTGACTGAGTTGAATTACTTTCTGTGTGAAATTGCCAGGAGTCTTTCAGTTCCGTTTTGGAAAATGTACTGAGCAACCGTACAGCAATGGCTGTTTCTTTTTAGCTTCTGTTCATTCATTCCACTCTTGCTGGTCATTGAAGCTAATCACTTTCATCGGGGGGTGGGGGGGGTGGATGGAGCGATGGTGGAAGAACATCACATCAGACCTTTTGAAACCTTTTTTCCAAACAAGATGTATCTTTGCAGCCATTGTGCTGGGAGCATTAAGGAGAATAGGTAGCCAGTGGAATGTTAGTGCAGATGCTGGTACTGAAAAAATAACTCTCAATCTTTTGTTCTGCTTCAATCATTCTTAAACCACTGAAATGTTAGTGGCTTCTTATACAGCTTATTTATCTTATTCAACTAAATCTATGCTCTTGCAAGAAAAGGTTTAAAAGCATACTGGAAACTGCAGTACAATCCTCACAAGAATTCTCAGCAAATTAATCCACATCTTTATTGAGTTGCCAAAATAATTGGATTATACTAGACAAATTCTGATAATATAATTGAAGGCCAGAAGATTACAGTTCTGTGATTAGATTATTAATTCTGATTTTTTTTTGGCTCTGCACAGAAATAAAATCAATCTCAATCAAGTGTGGGGAACACAACTTTAGGCTGGGGAATTGTCATAATCCTTCCTGATGTCAAGTGATCCATTTGTGACTGTACTCCTGGGGGGGGAAGGATTAAGTGGGGTGTACTTGGAGCTAAACTGCTGATGACAGGACAGCAAGCCTGGCCCATTGTCAGGACTCAGAATTCCTGTTTCCAGGGGGCAGGGATTCTTCCCACTAAGCTACTGTTAACCCTGCAAGCCAAACCTTGAATGCAGTGGTCCCAACCTTTTTGGTCAGCCAAGAAAATACATTTTCTTGATTGAAAACTTCTTGATTTATATCATATTAAATATTCAATCAAGAAAAACCTAGAAATGCACTACCAGTCAAACATGGACTAACCTAGAAGAGTGCGAATGTTTGGAGGGCCGGAACTGGCCGTAGTGTTTCTAGCATTGCTCTAATAAGTAGGGTATAAGCAGCGGGAAGCTTGCCAGACAGTTCTTTCAATGGCAAGCTACAAGCTCAAAGTCCCGACCCAACGTTCCTTTCAAAGACCATAGCAAATCTATTGGTTGTAGCAATGTAGTACTTCTGCAAGACTGCACAATTGATTCAACAACAACAACAACAACAACAAGATTCCATTTATAGAGCGCCTTTCACGTCGGGAGGACATCCCAAAGCGCTGGACAGTTGGGTCAGGACCTGAGCAGGGGGGAAATGGTCAGGGTGAGGGGAGGGAAGGGAGGGAGCGAGGAGGAGGAAATGGTCAGGGTGAGGGGAGGGAAGGGAGGGAGCGAGGAGGGGGTAGAGAGTCGAGAGGGGAGCTGAAGGCTCGGTCAAAGAGAAAGGTCTTGAGACCGGCCTTGAAGGAGGAAAGGGAGGAAACAAGGCGAAGGGACTGGGGAATGGATGGATTCATTTATAATGTAACTGGGTCAAGATCGCATTTATTTGATTCTTAATAACATTCAGCAGATTCAAAATTAAAGTGGAATTCTATCAAGAAACAAACCCTACCAGCTGTTCTAAGACATGTGTAACTGGGTTGTAAAGGGAGCCAGATTGTACCATTGTGCTTTTCTATCAGATCCTTCAAATGTTACATTTATTAAAACATATAACTGGTTTGATCTGTCTAAAAATGTCAGTACAGAGGAAAGAAAGAACTTGCACATTTATAGCGCTTATCAAATTGAAACATCTCAAAGAGCTTCACAGAAAATGATGTCATGAGCATTGACTGTTTCTTGTAGGGAAACTCAACAGCCATTTTGCACACCGTCTTACAATGTGAATGATCAAGTAATCTGGAGGATTGTTGGCCAGGACACCAGAAGAAACTCCCTTCACTTTCCAAAGATTATCATGGGTCTTTAACAACAACAACAAGATTACATTTGTATAGCGCCTTTCACGTCGGGAGGACGTCCCAAGGCACTGGACAGTGTATAGCTGGGGTCAGGGCGGGAGAAGGGAGGGGAGGGGAAGGGGGGATGGCCGATGACATGGTCGAAGAGGAGGGTCTTGAGGCGGGACTTGAAGGAGCTAAGGAGACGGCGAGGCGGAGTGACTGCGGGATGGAATTCCAGAGGCTGGGGGCAGAGTGGCTGAAGACTGTCCCGCCAATGGTGGGGTGGGACGTGGAACAGGCCAGAGCCGGCTGAGAGGAGGGAACAGGAGGGTTGGTAGGGGGTTAGGAGGTCGCAGAGATAGGGTGGAGTGAGGCCATGGAGGGCTTTGTATGTGAGGACCAGGATCTTGAACTGGATCCTCTGAAGGATAGGGAGCAAAAGGAGACAAAAGGATGAGAACGGGGAAGATGGGGTCATGGAGTTTGGTGTGTGAGAGGACATGGGCTGCAGAGTTCTGGATTATCTGCAGCCTGTGGAGGGAGGAGTTGGGAAGGCTGACAAGCAGGGTGTTTTCATAGTCAAGCCTGGAGGTGATGAAGGCATGAACAAGAGTTTCAGCAGCCTGAGGGGTGAGGTAGTGGCGGAGTCGGGCGATGTTACGGAGGTGAGGGAAGGCAGAGCGGGTCATGGCTTGGATGTGGGGAAGAAAAGACAGTTGAAGGTTGAACAAGACACCAGGTCCCTGACTGGTTTGGTGAGATGAAGTGTGGAACCATGGAGGTTGATGCTGCCAGAGCCTGAGGTGCTGAGGCACTGGCGCGAATCAATCAGGAGGGCCTCAGTCTTGTTCACAATCAACTGTAGGAAATTTGCCCTCATCCAGGACTTGATGTCCGACAGGCAGTCTGTCAGGACAGCAGTGGTCCTGGAGTTGAGGGTGGAAGCAGAAAGATAGAGTTGGGTGTCATCTGCATTAATGTACACCCGAACAGCCAGATGGATCGTCAGTTTAACATGTGATACAAAGGAAACTATTCAGTATTTCCCCAGTACCTAGTGTCTCAGAAAAGGAGAGCAGAAAACTTAATATTCAGCAAAGGAGTGAGACATGATGTAGCGAGTTATATCCAGTTAGGCAGGAAAATTACCTACAGAGCATTTACAGGATGCTATCAGTGTTCATCTAAAGAGCCTTTAAAGAGTTTTCAGCATGGTTTTATAAGCAATTGG